CAAATTTCAAACTAAGTCCATGCTGGCAGCCATCTTGGATGATTGATCGCCTACAAAGTTACAACACTTGGTCAGCACCTAATAAGGAATATTCGTGTCATGTTTAATTTCATTCAATTCAGTGGTTCTCTAAAAGAAGACATTTGTATGTATTGTCCATAGTGTCCTATGTTAAACGAAGTCCCCCGCTGGCGGCCATCTTGGATGATGGATCGGCTACAAAGTTACAAAACTTGGTCAGCACCTCATAAGGAACATGCATGGCATGTTTGGTTTCATTCCATTCAGTGGTTCTCTTAAAGAAGACATGTGTATGAATTGTCCATAGGGTCCTTTGTAAAACGAAGTCCCCCCTCTGGCGGCCATCTTGGATGATGGATTGGCTTCAAAGTAACAACAGTTGGTCAGCACCTCATAAGGAACATTAAAGCCATGTTTGGTTTCATTCCATTCAGTGGTTCTCTGAAAGAAGACATTTGAATGTATTGTCCATATGGTCCTATGTTAAACAAAGTCCCCCGCTGGGAGCCATCTTGGATGATGGGTCGGCTACAAAGTAACAACACTTGGTCAGCACCTCATAAGGAACATTCCTGACATGTTTTATTTCATTCCATTCAGTGGTTCTCTTAAAGAAGACATATGTATGTATTGTCCTTAGGGTCCTATGTTAAACTAAGTCCCTCTCTAGCGGCCATCTTGGATGATGGATCGGCTTCAAAGTAACAACACTTGGTCAGCACCTCACAAGGAACATTCATGGCATGTTTGGTTTCATTCCATTTAGTGGTTCTCTAAAAAAAGACATTTGTATGTATTGTTCATAGGGTCCTATGTTAAACGAAGTCCCCCGCTGGCGGCCATCTTGGATGATGGATCGGCTACAAAGTAACAACACTTGGTCAGCACCTCATAAGGAACATTCATGCCATGTTTGGTTTCATTCCATTTAGTGGTTCTCTAGAAGAAGTTCAAAATGTAAAAAGTTACAACGACGACCGACGACGGACGCCAAGTGATGAGAAAAGCTCACTTGGCCCAGGTCAGCTAATAATTACATAATTAACGTCCCTTTCTGACGAAACATTACTTGCGTTAGTAAAACCACCAAATGTGACTTTAAAGGTGTAAATAATTCTAAATACTCCCTGACAATATAAAAAATTATCAATTTCTTTCGGTTTTATATTTTAGTTCAATTGTCTTCTGCCTTCCTTGGATCCAAATTGAAAAAGGCTCGTTACGCCAGATTGTAAGGTTCATTAACCACCAATGAGATTATGGTCTACTTAAACTCACTAATAACCAAACATAACGTATATACAGCGCATCGTGATAACTGAATTTAAGTACAAGACTTAAATTCTATTAAATAATTAAGAATTCTCTAAATATACTGCCGTTTACCGGAAGGAACTTCCTTTGAATAAATCAAATATTAACAGAAATAATTGTCATTTCTAAGATTTAGATATTTCAGTGTTACACCAGAAACTCTACACCAAAATTTACGACAAAAGGGATTATTTTACTTCCTTATTGTTCATTTTTGGCACCGTTTTACGGTGTTTAAATATCCAAACTCGTTCGCAATGCCCGTGTATGTAGTGACGTTTTGGATTTCACTGTATTAAGTCAGGGATTTCGTAACCACAATATTTAAAACCTTTACTAAATTCTTCAATATATACAAAGATTTGGTCTGCAAGTTTGGCTGTACCTGTAGAAAACTTATTTCAAACGGAATAGTACATCCTAAATTTTAGAAACGATTCGGGTAAACTTTTCAATCCTTTAAATAAACTTATTCTAAAAGGTTACCAATTCAACACTGTAATTAGATTTTTGAATATTGATTTTATTGGTATAAATATTGATTTTGTTATCAGTAAATTAAAATCATACGAAATATTATTGTTATACACATATGCACTTTCACGGTACTACAAACTGTCGATACCTATATTTTGGCATTGCACACGGTCATGTTTTCCTCTGACTGTTAATGACGTATTTACACTAAATCCATTGGATGTTGGATGTGTACTGATTGATATTTTAGTCTTAATAACATGATTTTTTTATTAGTTGTTATTGGCCTTAAACTAACTGCGAGTACTCTTAGGTCTGTACTTTGCGTCTTTTTTGTTGTTAGGGATATATAAATGCCCTGCCATGTCCGATCTGTGTTTTTGTTAGATGTTTTTCTGCTTTGTTTCGATCTGATGAGTTAAGCCCTTTCGAACTGATTTTTATAATGTGTTCTTATGTTGTGCTGTAACACCACTGTCCCATGTTGGGGGAGGGTTGAGCGCTCACAAACATGTTTAACCCTGCCACATACTGTATGTGCCTGTCCCAAGTCAGGATCGAACCTGTAGTTCAGTGGTTGTCGTTGGTTCATGTCTGTCATATTTGTTTTTCGTAAATTGTTTTGTTATAAATTAGGCCGTTGGTTTTCTCAATTGAATTGTTTCATACTTTTCATGTCGGAGCCTTTTATAGCCGACTATACGGTATGAGTTTTCTCATTGTTGAAGGTAACCGCATCGGTGGTCTCGTGGTAACGTGTTCGCCTCGAGTGCGGGAGGTCGTGGGTTCGAACCCCAGCCGGGTCAAACCAAAGACTTTAAAATTGGTATTTGCTGCTTTTCCACTAAGCACGCGACATTGAAGAATAAGAACAATGACTGGTTGGCTCGGAGTCAGAATAATGTGTCCGGGTAAGGTGACATGTTTTCCTGCGGACTGTGAACTAGCACGTTAAAGATCCGGCTTAGCGTGTCGGTCTAGTACAAAGCAGGGTGAATATTCATATTACATTAATATGTTCTCGTCCTGAATATGCATACTAATTTGCCGCTGGACGTTAAGCAGTCATCCATCATCATCATCATTGTTGAAGGTCGTACGGTTGCCTATAATTGCTTACATCCACTTCATTTGAACTTTGGTGTATAGTTGTCTCATTGGCAGTCATACTACAACTCCTTATCTTTATACAAAACTAAATTGCTCTGAATCTGTTCCTTGTGAATTGTTATATAATATTGATAGCATTCATCCCTCACCTTTCCTAACTAACTTTGACTACATATCTCTTTCCCCTTCGCACTTTCTCTTTTTTTCACTTTGTTTTATCTTTGAAATTTTTACTTTGTCGCTGTGGTCGCTGTGCAGGTTAGTCGATTCAGTTTATGGGTATTTAGAAAGAATGTAAGGAAATATAACTTAATAGAATAAGAAGTGTTTACGAATGGAAATGGAATACCATTTTGTCTGTTAAAAAGACTACTAGTATTTGATTGTAAAATACAGGCAAAATTTTACAATATGTACAGTTTGAAAGTGTACCAGACTTAAATAATACCCACTATACGGAACATTTCATTTTAGGTCAGCTTGCCAAATGCAGCGAAAATTTTCCACTCGTGCTAACTGACAAATATATAAAAATATAAAACTTTGTTTTTTATCAAATGTTAGGTGGTGGATAAAAAAAGATGTGCTAATTTGTACAACAAGGGGCCTCAAGTTTAATGTATGCTGTTTTTCATGAGTTCATTTCTGTCGATATGATCTGTTGCCGGTCCGGCCAAATGCCGATTTGACCTGTTACCTCCGATGTGGCGTAGGATGTTAATTAACATCAAGAATAAAAACATATTTATCATCTGCATGTGGTCCGATGATTAGTAAACTGTTCAAGCTGAAAAAAGTCGTTCCCTGAAAACCGAAAAGCAGTCTTTTCCCTCTAAACGATGCTGAAACTTGATCATCTGAAAGACGGCGATTCATATGATTTTTTTAACGCACGTTTATAGTTAGATGAATGAATTTGGTGATACGGATAAAAGGAAAGTCAATAAATCATTTGTTAACTGGCTTAGTTTAAAATGTTGTATACAGTTTCATACAAAAGAAATGCTTTCTTGTGTTCAATCGTTTACAGTCTTGCGTTTTCTTCGTAAAAAAAAAGTATAAAATCAAGCTTTACGGTCGATTGAATCGGAAAGCAAGTGTTCTGAATATAAACCGTGCAGTCATTACCGCGTCCTCGGAGACGGTATTGGAAGTTGAACGATTCACAGATTTCGGAATAAATGTTTGGTAGGGGCAATTCGAAACTAGAGTAAAGGTCAATTTATCTATAGAAATTTAACATTTGTTTTTATAATGCAATAACACTGGAAAGGGGTAAATTTCTCAATCACCTGAGGAGGGTTTGGGCTGGGCTAGCCGATGTCTAGCTATCAAACCAAGATAGCAAAACGTGAATAAAATAAGACGAGAAACAATCAAAAGGGAGAAAGAAAAAAAACGACTCTTAGACGATAAAAACTTACGTTGGAATCCATGCCCGAAATACGCTCACACACATATTTTGATGAAATTTTCCAAAATCTTCTGGATTTCAACGAAAGGTATAGAAGGCATAAAGCACAGAATTCGATCAAATAAATATTTAGTCAGATATTTAATTTATCATAGCATGTATTATAATTATAATGTTAAAAAATCCTTTTGTTGACGTGTGTGCTATATGTTCCCAACCCTAAAAACCAATGGAAATTCGCCTGCTTTCTTTGTGTTTACTGGAAAATTGAAATTGATGCTAATTGTACATGACGTCAAAAAAAGATATATAATCTAGTAATTGTTTTAAGAAGGTTTCATTGTTTTCAGATTTAACAACCGTTAATTTGATTTTTTATGCAGGATTTAATACAAAATGAAGTAATATTTTGGCCTTGACAAACCCTTTTCCTAGAGTTAATTTATCGGAACTATCACGATCTGGGACTAGTACATTAACATTATTATGTCATGCTAACGTTAATTTTTTTTTTAGATCTCAACCCTTCTCATTTGTTGGTGTTATTTCAAGAAAAGAGCAGTAAACTTTATAAATAAGAAATACAAAGGGTTTAAATTATTTTTGAAACTCAGAAAAAAGGCAATACATATACTAAAACTTAAGTACAACTTTAAACAAAACAAAACATAATTACCTTTATTTCAAAACAATTAATCTTGACAATTTAATAACACATGAGAAAGAGATGTCATCCTAAATTAATAACATCAGCGGTTTTACGATGAAACTACAAGTATCTGTATAATAAAATGGCTGAACTATTTCATACTCTCTTGTCTCTCAACTGAACCTGCTGAACCTCGGTTAGGTTACGTCAGTAGTATGGCTTTATCCAGGTTCTCAATGGGAATGCATCATATTCAATCATAAGGTGTGGTGTGAACTTCTTATCGCCGGGCAGTGGGTGTTTTCCTCAATCAAAGTCCTTAGTTCAGAATAGTTGAATAGTTGAGAGTCGGGCGCACTTCCATTAGCACCAACACTGACCCATACGAAATTGTAGTCTGCGTCGTCGAGGGCGAGTAGTTTGATTGAGAAAAAACCTTTGTAGTTGCAGTACAGGGTACCAGAGTCCTGTGTGCACTTTATCCTCACGTGCTTGCCATCCAGTGCTCCTCCACATGCATGAGGAAAGTTCCATTTGGCTTGTAAGTCATCGGCAAGCTATTGCCACTGTTCGGATGTCCCGACGGCTGGCGTCACCTCTTCTAAGTACTTATATATTACAGCTTCCAATACTTTTGGAATGAACAAGCTAATGGTGTTTTTAGTCACTCGAAATGAATACATGAGCTCTGCATAAAAAGCGCCATTTGTGAGATAGCGAAGGGTGACAGCCAATTTCATTCCAGGCTCTAAAGCTTCTCTGAAATATATAAAAGTTGAAAATTTATAAATGTCATTCCTGCAATGATATTATAATTTTAATTCGCTTTCATTCGGATGAAATTTTCAATCATGCATAAACATGTCTATTTATCTAAAATTGGTGTTATGACTAATGTATTTCATTTGGTGTGAAGTACGGTTTAAAAACTCCGATAACATATCAGCGTCCACTCTGAGGAGGATTTTATAACCATTGGGTTCCTCTCTGTTGAGTTCCTGCAACTGTCTTTCATATTGCCTGTTCATATGCGCCCGTTGCTGTCTACGCCCTCTTGTTCGTCTTCTACGCTCCCTTCAAGCTTTGTCACAGCCATTAACCTGTCTCTCTGGAGCTCTAACCACCTTGCCCACAAATGCAACTGCTCTTTTTCCATGTAGATATTTTAAATGTATGATTTTACCTTCCGTGAACTACTGACTGATAACCAAGTTAATCGAAAATGTGTCCATCGGACACAGATAATGCCTCCGCTTACACATAACGTTATAAAGAGGCATTACTCAAGAACGGTAAAAGTGACGCCACCCAAATTCGAGCTTGATCTGTGTTTTATAGTTATAAGCATTGTGTATAAGTTTCATAATATTTGGTTGAGGCAAACTAGAGTTAGAGAACGGAAACTAATTCTTGGGACGTACATACGTACGGACAAGGGAAACACTTAATGCCCCTTCTGCTGCGGCGGGGCATAAAAAAATTCAGACGTTTTTATATTGATAATTGTACATACCCGACCGATTCCCGACTATCTCTACGACCCCTTTACGATCAGGTCGATCTGGTCTGGTCGAGATCGGGCTGAGATCGAGTATAGTTGAGTTGGTCTAGCTAGTCGAGTAAAGATCGTGTAGAGGTCGTGAATTGGTCGAAATAATCGAATATGTCTTCAATTAGTGGTCGGGTTGGAGTCGTGATGGAGTCACTAAGGAGTCGTGAATGGTCGAGTTATAGTCGTGTTCAGTCGGAGTTATAGCGTTCGGGTAGAAGTCGTAAACAGGCCCGATCAAGAATTTGGTTACGCTTGGTCGTGAGAATTGAGGAAATCGGGATCATCGAGTTGATCTGATCGGCAGTGTGAACCTAGCTTAAACCACTATACAATTTATATACTATGAAAGCTATTCTGCATGAATTAAATTACAATGCAAAAACATTTTCAAATATCATCATCATAGCTTTTTTTAAAAGCTATCACTTGTGGTCAATTGATTTTGAAACCTTTGCATAGTTTACATGTTAAAGTGTGTGATTGGGTCAGTTTAAGGGGAACCACTTATGACAAGTCAATGATATTTGGTATGCAATTGTATAAGCATTGACACATCTCATTTCCATGGAAATTATTTTGCCCGCCCCCCTCAGTCATGGTCTATTGAATTTGAAACTTTTGCATGTTACAGTTTGTGATTATGTCAGTTTAAGAGGAACTACTTATGATAAGTCAATAATATTTCGTATGCAGTTGTTTTCGCATTGGCATATCTTATATCTCCGAAAACAATTGACCCTTTTCCTTCAGTTATTGTTCATTGACTTTGAGTATTTTGCATAATTTACTTGTTAAAAAGTATTGAGTTTTTAATTTCAACATTTCCATTTTACTATCAAATTATATTCAGGCAAGACATATCTATGTGTCAAAAGTTTATTTACTGTAACATGGCTGTTTGAATTTTCTGATTCATTTCCATGATTAATAGCTATCAAAGAAGCAAATTTGAAGTTTATCAATGCCAAACTCCTGGACGGATTTTTCAATTTTTGTGTATTTTCTTTAACTAATATTATTGTTAGGGGTGTTAGATTGATAAACTCTTCACAGTGAGCCACATTTGTGTTTTTTAATACAAGCTTTTATTCATGCTAATTTTATGCATATGTTTGTTTGTAGGTTTTATACAATTGTGCCTCTCTGAGACCGTTTATTGTCATATAAAACTATTTTCTGCTTGTACTCAAAGCTATCTGTATTAGATTTACTTGTTAGATGATAGCCATACATGGTTTGGTAAAAGGATTATTTGCGCTCTTTTCGCCTCGAAAGAATTATTCTGATTAAAGCCTTACCGGGGATTTAGATTGAGGACTGATAAAGCAAGCTAATATATTACATGACCAATCGTTCGATAGCTCAATGCAAATATGGATACTTATCTTATCACATTAAGTCTGACTGATAAAAATATAAACAAATTCACACATGTATCATGGAATGAGGTCAGTACTTCCGACATACATATAGAAGGGAAAAAAACAATTGAAATGTTACTTTAAGAGGTAAGAAAGCTTTGTTATTATTACTTGGGATTTGTAAATCGCTTAAAAGATGGTTTTAACATGAGCATTTGGAAGCACATTACACACAACAGTGTGAGTTGGCAGTTCTTTGTCTAAACTGCAAAGTAAGTTGGTCACTTTTGCACTTATTAACACGTCTCTTTAACCCATCGAACGTCTTTAAAACATTTCGAACGTCTCTGTAACCCACCAAACGTCTCTGTGACCCACCGAACGTCTCTGCAACCCATTGAACGTCCCTGCTACCCATTGAACGTCTCTATAACCCATCGAACTTCTTTAAAACATTCACAACGTCTCTGGAACCCACCGAACGTCTCTGTAACCCATTGAACGTCTCTGTAACCCACCGAAAGTCTCTGTAACCCACCGAACGTCTCTATAACCAATCGAACGTCTCTATAACATATCGAACGTCTCTGTAACCCACCGAACGTCTCGATAACCTAGTATATCGAACGTCTCTGTAACCCACCAAACGTCTCTATATCGAACGTCTCTGTAACCCACCGAAAATCTCTATAACCCACCGAACGTCTTTTTAACTCATCGAAGGATTTATAGGATTTTATAAATCGAGAAAACACAGTGGGTTAGAAATAAAAATTCACGAGGAGCTAAACTAATCTTGGAAAATGGATCAAAAATTGAAAGCCCACAAAATCTGCTACGAAAATAAATGAATTATACAGGATGCGTAGGTTTGTCGGTTATTATTTTTTCTTTTTCTTAGTTTTGTTTATCTTTTCTGTAATTCTTCTATCTATTTATTGTATCTCAATGGTGGGTGATTTCTTTAGCAAACGCCAAAGAAAGGACTGCAAGATCAAAACATATCAATTAAAAAACTTTTAAGATGGCAAAGAGGTATGGTCAATTTCCACTGTATTTGTTTCGCTCAAGGGATCAATATTAGTAAGTTGCTTAAACATACCGTGGAATTATAATATTAAACGGTCTATATCATGTATATGATATACTAAATGAATTTTAAAACAATTTTACATACCTAAATAAAATCAAAGTGTTATTCGGCGTTACATGTTGCTTCTGAAGACAATATTGCAAATTTTATCATTTTTCTACATTTTTGCTGGGACTATTATACAAGTGATTTTTGGGATAGATACTTTTAAAATCGATCAAAATTTGAGTTTTGGGTAATTAGGCAATTAGGCAATTATAATATGGACAAATGTTCGGTCAAAATGCTGTTTAAACCTTACAGTAGTAACAGTACACATTGAATCTATGATATTGTAAAGTAAGATTCAAGGACTTTTTGAAAATGGCCCAAGTGCGACATGAATTGAGGGGAAATGGGCCCTACCTCTTCGGTTTAAAAAAGGAAACTATTATATGTTACTATAAATGGTTTACAAACGTTTGAAAAGAAAACAATGTGGTTCTTAGTTTAGTTTACTCTTGAAACTTAGTTTGGAAAATAGAATGCCTAATTAGGTATATAGACTACTACAAAAGTATACTAACTAATGTTTTTAAAAAGTGTTAGAAATATAAAGTCGAAATGTTTACAAAATTTCTGAAGTTGTAAAATCAAATTCTGTGAAAATGGAAATTTTTTAATTTTCCTTTTTGACACAACTAAAAATCTACATTTTCAACCCAAAAATGACGCAATATTTGTGGAAATTAAAGTCGCATGTATCTTTATACTTGTAAACAACGAATACGACTGTGATATTAATTTTCTTAACCGTTTTTTTAATGATCAAGTCAATTCAAAGTTGATGCATCTCAGACTTTTGATTTGGTGACTTTTTTGGATGACACCCACATTTTTGGCACTAAGACGAAAGTTTCTCTGTAAATCGTAGCTTATATTTAAGGTATGCCTAAAATATATTAGAGTTTTTTTCAAATGATATAAAAAACAAGAAATTATGAAACTTACTACTATGCATCGAAAGAGGTGGTGCGTTATTTTAGTCGCTGAGTATAGAATAAATATTTGTCTCACTACGTTTTCATTCCTGTTACCTTTGTGCGTATAAACACATGGCTTGTATAACGACTTTGTCTTGTATGAAAGGAATTTTTGAGAAGTTGATGCACAAAGGAAAAAAATATCCATATTAAATATTTTCCCATAACGAGGTCCAATTTGTTAGCCGGCATGACCTAAAAACGACTAATCAAAGAATTCAACTTTATATATGTTGTATACATGTTATCATTTTGTACAAATTATAATTTGAACCAAAAAATTGTACACATTATAATTTGACTTTGTACAAATTGTGATTTCTACAAAAAGTGCTTGTACAAATTACAATTTGTACAAAATTTGACTAAAATTCACTTATAACTTGTACAATAATTTAAACTATGGATTTTGTCATAAAAACATTGATACACACTATAGAATTTTTATTCAATGACCACACAATAAACCTTATTTACAAAATACAAAAATACCCAGATGGAGCCAGGAAATGTAATTGTTACATGTATGCCAGTTTATTCTAATAGTACAATCAAAATTGGCCCTTGTGACAATTCTGACAGACTAATAAAAATTGGCATAGTGAAAATTCTGATAGTATAATAGAAATTGGCCCCAGTGATAATTCTGATAGTATAAGAGAAATTGGCCCGAGTGACAATCAGGATGACACTGACGTTGAAACACCAAGCATACATGCCAGGATTCATGCGCTGTCTGGCCAACAGATCCAAGCCGAATACGAAACGGAAATAATAAGAATTTGCTGTGGGGGATAATGTCATAATACCAATTCCTCAGTGTAATCGTTCCCCAGCTGATCCTCGAAATATCTTAGTTGAAATTATTGAATCTGTAGAATGTGATCGCATTGGAACAGCTATAGGAATTTTAACAGGATATTTGTCGAGAAAAGAAATTGAAGCTGTTGAAGACACATCTTTATTTGCAGCAACAGCTCCTGAGCTTCAATTTTCGCTACGTGAAGCAGTTAAAAAGCTTTCAAAAACTGATGGTCAGGGATTTCTTTCATGTAAATGCAAAGGAGGGAGCATCACTTCTAAATGTAAATGTAAAAAGCAAAATTGTTGTGCATTTCTGATTCCATAATTCAATCACATGCTCAAACAAATGATAAAGAACTATTTTTGTATTTTGTAAATAAGGTTTATTGTGTGGTCATTGATTAAAAATTCTTTAGTGTGTATCAATGCATTTTTTATAACAAAATCCATATCATAAATTATTATACAAGTTATAAGTGAATTTTAGTCAAATTTTGTACATATTGTAATTTGTACAAGCACTTTTTGTACAAATTACAATTTGTACAAAGTCAAAATACAAATTATAATGTGTACAATTTTTTTGTACACATTATAATTTGTACAAAATGATAACTTGTACACAACATATATAACTAATATAGGACAATGGTGTTGATTAAAAATTACACCATTCCAGGCCCTTTTGTTTTCCACATAATTAATATTGCCAATAATTAACAAGTTCCGGGTCGATTCCGATACCAATCCCAATAGAACCTGTTACCCGTTACATAATCTGTACGTTCCGCCTCTGTCAGGCGCACCACCAAACGGTGTATTTGGGATTAGATCATAATCACACCTGAACTTCGTCATTATACAGGGATTGACACTTTGACCAAAAAAATATATCTACAAGTAGTTTCCGGTTGTAGTAAGAAATCCAGGATGGGTTCAAACAGAAAGATTTTGAAAGCAAAGAAAACTGTGCACCTTACAATCAGCATGACTTTGTTAAATGCCAATACGAATACTAAAAATCTAGACTGAAAATAAGGCGTACATCCTTTATTTCAGTCACGAACCCGCGTTGTCGCGGGTGTGTTCTAGTATTATATACATTTAACTAAACACATTTCAAATTAACAAAAAAACAAGACATCAACTCGTTCATGTCTGGCAAAAAGATAAATAGTTGATAAGATAAAAAAAATAAATACATGTAGTTGAGAACAGAAAAAAAAAATAAATAAGTGTAGTTAGTAACAGAAAAAAATAAAAGAGAAGAAACTTACGTTTAGAACTCGATTATCTTTTTCTCAAGCAAAACTAACCATGCATAGGCAATGGTGTCAAGTATGAGATAGCACACATTTACAACTACGATCCATTTTGTTTTTACATGTTTCCTCACCAGGAAAACATAGTAAATTTTAAACATTGTTATCACCATTTCCGGATTTTTCATAAGCCCTGTTATGATAACACAACTTGTTAAGTTTTATATTGTTAAGACGTCACTTCAATAGGAAAAATCCTGTAAGATGGAGTCGACAGGTCGGGTTTTTTTTTTTTTTTTTTTTTTACATCTGTTTAAGGAATGACTGTAATATTTTTTCTGTCTATGAAGAAATAACATCAAAAATGTGGTTCAGCGGGTTATTTAAAAGTTTGCACCACATGTTTTAGGTTATTTCGAATAGACAGAAAAAAATAATACAGTCATTCCTTATAATTTAATTCTAAAAAGGCGTAAATCATGATAAAAACGTTGATGACGTCACGGTCACATGACAGAATTATGTCTATGAGCTGATAGACAAAACACTTTCAGCCAATCAGAAGACGTGTTACATCCAAAATTAAATTATTACAAAATACGGTCAATCACCTTCTTAAACATTTTTTTCTACTTTATAAAAATACAAATGAAAAACTATTTAAAAGAGAATTTAACAGCCTGATTTATGTACAAAACAATAAAAAAAATATGATATACAGCAACAAACGACAACTACTGAATTGCAGGCTCCTGACTTGGGACTGTACAGAATGTGGCGGGGTTAAGCATGTTTCAGGGCGCACTACCATCCCCCTGGACTGGGACAGTGGTGTAACATACACAGACGTTACACACGTTATTGCGTAAATTCCGTGAAATCAACCAGTCCACACTAATACACAGCTTTTCTATAAAATCAAAACAGTCAAGCTATATAAAATTATGTCCATAGACTAGGCAGGTGTTACTAATTCTAAAAAATCAACAAATTGTTTTATAATTTTTTACAATAGTCTAAAATAAGGACAAAAATATTGGCAAAACGTCAAAAATATGCGTGTCAGACGTAACAGACTATACGCATAATATCTTTTATAGGGGTGTTTCTGCTCTCCGAAACAGTGTAAAATCCCCGAAAATTCGCATGAATGATATGCATCATATATTATAGGGTTATTGCATGAATATTGTCCCGAGTAGAATTTTATATTGCACGAGCTTGCGAGTGCAATATATGTTCTACGAGGGACAATATTCTCCAATATTCATGCAATAATCCTATTATTGTATAGCAATATAACATTTGAAAGTAAAAATTGGTTTAAACTAAGATTTTGTCGTTGATGACGTCATAAATTTTGAAGATTTATTGCACTAGTGCAATATTAGAATTTATTGCACGCTAGCTTTTGGTTACTTTCTGTGGGAAATATTATATTGCTATGCAATAAAAAGTATTACGTCATTATGGAATTTGCGTTGATGCTATGGCAAAGATGATTTTTTGCAAAAATAAATAGTCTTCACCATGATCAGATTTCGGAAATATGGAAGTTATCGAAATTTATAGGTTTTTAAAATATAGGATAATATGAAATTTCGTCTTCATAAATTATGCTCACAATAGTACATAGATGGACCATTTCAAAACACACCACAAATAAAAATACAACGGCTTCTGGCAAATGTCTTGCAAGAATGTCCAATGTCGAATTTTGCCGCATTTTACAATAGACTGTCAATTGCGACGTCATTTATTAAACATTTCGATTTGTTGCATACAAAATAGTGTTTTTGCGTAATTGTACTATAATCCTACAATACAGTTACATACTTTTCGATAATTTGCGTAGTCAAAACGAATTCGTTTTTAAGCAAATCCAATGTCTTGCAAGTTTGTCCACTTAACGATTTTCTTACGTTTTCAACGTTGTCGATTTCGGACGCTATGTATGTCTTTTAAAATTAAACCGAAATGTTTGTTTGTATTGGTGTTTTGGTGTTTAACGCAAATTTTAGCGCCCTTGGTTGTATCATATCGGACAGTTTTCTATGGTAGAGGAGGTCGGAAAACCTTGGTTGTGATATAAATTGAAAACCGTCAAACAGACTCGCAAAATATAATAAATAATATCCACAAATTTTGTTACAAATCTTCTTGTCTGACCCTTATCGTGTTACAATTGTGATAACTGATTTAATGGAGCAATATACGATGAATATAACTATTTTTTTCTGGCAATCGTTTAATTTTCTAATTTAATTGTTCCTTATTAAAAAAAAGTAAAGTGTACTTTGTAAGTAAGACTCGTTTAGCTTGTAATTCTCCGCACACTTTTTTTTTATTAAAGGAAAATGTATGTTTCCTCCTTTTCATCGGATTTAAATGGAGAAAGATTCATGTTATTACTTTCTATGTCATTTGGTCTCTGGTAGAGAGTTGTCTCATTGGCACTCATACCACATATTCTTTTTTTATATATACCCTATTATCTTACCAAAATACATTTATTGTGTTGTTTGTTGCTTTCGTAATTTCAGGGGGAAGTATTTCATGCATATTCAGTACAAATACGGCATTGTAGTCCATGTGGAAGGATACAATTAATTATGTGTAATTGGCTAGCACTTAATAACTTAAATATGTTGATGAAGTGTATCCTTGATTTATTAATAACAAATTTTATTTTCTTTGTTTTAAAAATTTCAGTGTATATTTTATCAGAAATAATTGTTACTTTGCATCCCATCTCAATCTTGCCTTGCTTCCATACATCCATCCAGTGTTGTCTTTTTTTATGCTTTTAATCTTTTTGTATCTGATTTTACAATATAAAAATAAGAAGATGTGGTATGATTGCCAATGAGACAACTCTCCACAAGAGACCAAATGACACAAAAATTATTAACTATAGTGCACCGTACGGCCTTCAACAATGAGCAAAGCCCATACCGCATAGTCAGTCAGCTATATAAGCTTAGTTTCAAAAGAGTTTAATGTTCTAACTCCCTCAAGCAAAATGTCTTCAAAAGCATTTGGCTGGTCTTTATAGGTCCGTTTTGGTCATAATTTTATAACTCTTCGCGTACTCAGGCAATCAGATCATACAACATCTCCCTATTTTATATCTATCCATCTTTGGCTTCAATGTTTTTAGTTTGAGCATTCTTGGTAATAGGTAAATCAAGAAAAGCGTTCCGAACGTATACAATTTATTAAATGTTATTTTTATTTACTTGATATAAGAGTCAAAATTATTTGTGTCTCTAAATTATAAAATAATAGTTGTAATGAATTACTTTGCTCATCATGGTCACTTTTGGAATAAAAATATCTCTATCTTTGTACGTATTTTGTATTTGCTATTCGGTTTATTGTGCCTAGACATAACGATTTCAGTGGTTAAAGCGAACGGTGATTTATAATTTTACACATTTGACGTAGACCAGGCATTTTTTTATTTATTAACATTTACCATTCAGGAAATATGGTTTATTTCTATTTGATAAAATTTATAGTTCATCGCAGAGTAAACACTTGATTTGATTAAATATGTAATTGAAACGTTTCGATCTCATGAAACATTTGAAATTTAAGGATTTATTTCAACAATGCACATATAAATCAATTTTATGTAAATAGATATGAAATATACAAATTAAACAAACAAAGTCATCATGGTCTCGCGAATCACAATCTCCTAATAAAAGATAAAAGAAACACGAACACACAACAACAGAGTAAACTTAAAACTTTAGTGATTGGTGTTTTCCTCGTCTGCTGAGTAATACAAAATTTAGTGGTTAGTTTCCCCCCGTCTGTTCAGTAATACAAACTTTAGTGGTTAGTTTTTTCCCCGTCTGCTGAGTAATACAAAACAAAGAGGTAGTGCCAGTTTCCCTTGTAATTATTTAACTCGCAGTGTAAAAATGTTAAAACCTTCTTGATTTAATATAAATAGCCCCTAATATTTATTTACACATTTTTCAATAAATTCTACATATGCTGTAAAATTAAAATGGCATTCAGTGCTACATATTGCTATTAAATACAATATATTTTCGGATTGAAGGCTGACGAAAATGTAATTGTTTCGTTTGTTTTCTGATATGTTGTACGATTTCTTTTAAATTGCATTAAATATTTATTTGATATTAGTCGTTATTCAGTATTTAGAAGATATAACATTTTTTTTAACCATTCTTTGCTTGTAAGCACAAAAATGCTGAAAGTGTTTCACGTTTTTGTTTGATTTCTCTTCGTTTGAAATTTTATGTACCTGATGAAAATGTATACATTTCTTTACATACAGGTGTAAATTTGTTGAAATTTTCTTCTCTATGAGTTATTCCGTCATTAAAACAAAAGAACTGTATCAACTACATGTTTATCTATGTTAAGCTTTGCATGCTGTAATACTGTGGAGAGGTGAATCGTTTCAGAATAACGAATGTAAATTCTTAAATTATTATTAAATAATTCTTTATTGCAAAACAAACAAAAAACAATTTTGGTTATAGCAATACAGACACAAGACAAACATAAGAAAAACGCAGCAATAATAATAAACATGTTAAAGAACAGTTATTGGTCTCCTTTCCTCAGTTCTAATGACTTTTTAATAAAAGAAACAACTACTTTTATATCATTGGGTATTGATGGATTTAGTATAATCGCGAGTTTATCAGTTAAGTTAAGTGTATTAAATTTGACATATTTTTAGATATAATATTTCAAAAAAGGTGTCTCTTTTATTTTTATTAATTTTACAGTTAAAGAAAAAATGGAATTAATCATCGAAGATATTACATATTTTACATTTTCTTTCATTTCTTGGTATTTTTGTATATCTTCCAGTTTCTATTAAAAGACAATGATCGCTTATTCTAAATTTGTTTAACATTTTTCTTGTTTCTTTGTTTGGGTGAGGTAGGTAGTATCCATTTGGTTATCTATATTAGATTTCAGAAATTTATATAGATACATTTTATTATTTTCATTCAGGTTGTTTATTTTATCATTAATAAGAGTTTGATAATAGTTAATGGAACATTTTTTTAATTGGGGTTATAACTTTTTAGTCTGTTTTAAAGTTTTAGTGTCTGTTGATGTGGTTTATAAGTGTT